TTTCTTTCTTTCTTTCTTTCTTTCTTTCTTTCTTTCTTTCTTTCTTTCTTTCTTTCTTTCTTTCTTTCTTTTTTTTTTTGTATTTTGAGACAGGGTCTCCCTGTAGCTCCAGTTGGCCTGGAACTCGCTATGTAGACCAGGCTAGCCTCTAATTCACAGAGCTCCACCTGCCCCTGCCTCTTGAGTGCTGGGATCAAAGGCGTGCACCACCATGCCTGGCCATGATTTTGTTTCTTAAAATATTTTAAAAATATTTTCTTATTATTTTTATTTTATGTGTATGAGCGTATTGCCTGCACATACATAAGTAAGTGCACCTGTGTTGCGCAATGCCCACAGAAGTCAGGAGAGGACATCAGATCCCCTGGAACTGGAATTATAGACACTCATAAGGTACCATCTGGGTGTTGAGAACTGAACCAGGATCCTCTGCAAGAGCAGCCAGTACTCTTAACCACTGAGCCATCTCTCCAGACCCAGTATTTCCTGTTCTTATCAATCCTGGCCTTGGTCCTGGTCAGAATGAGCAATGCTGGGGGAGTCCACACTGACTGTACCTGCTGAATACTAATTCTAATTCTGCAGACAGGTGAACGGAAGCTCTTTATCCAACCTGCTCACAGAAGACAATGATGGAGCTGGCCCAGGAGGGCCAAGCTAAGGTGAGTACAGTCACTGTCACCTGCTCTCCCACAGCAGAGCACACGCCTCAGCCTTGAAGTTCATTCTAGAAGTGTCATTAGACTAGCTGGGTGTCCTCTGCAAGCTGGAGATCATGCATGTCCTTGTTCATTGAGAAGCAAAGGACCAGCCTTCCTGTGTAGATTGTGCTTATCTCTAAGGAAGCCTGTGTGCTCAGTACTGTGACCCCCAGGGGTTGTGTCAACATGAGCACAAGGCCACTCTATGCGTGTGTTGAGCTTGCAGTAGGGAGGTTGGCTAGCTAGTGCATGGGGGGGGGTTCAGATGGGCCTTTCCTGGCCACATACATGTCTTTCCTGTGTGAGGGTGAACTGTGAGAGTAGATGGCACAACAGTCCACTCACAGGTTGACCAGAGCACAACCCTGAGACCCTACGATGATGGCGATGGCCCTTCTCCCCCAACACACCCCGATTCTTCCTGAGCTCCTCAACATAGCAACCTCCATGTCCCTCCTGGGGACTAACAGCAAGATGAGCCTGACTCAGGACTTTCCTGTGTTTTCAGTGCCATGATCACCGACAAAGTGACCAGGAACGGTCTAAAGGCCATTCGGTGATGAGGCCAGCTCTGTCTAGTTTTCAAATAGGAAATAGCAAAATCTTTGAAGTCCTCCAAGCCTAAGACAGAGTACAGAGCACAGCTAGCAGTGGGCTCCAAATGGAGAGCTACAAGCATGTCCCACATGTGTCTAAGACCCAGGCTGCTGTTTTGGACTATCTCCTTGTCCAAATCAATTGTATAGCAAGATATTAATAGGCTATTAATTGACAGGATGGACAGTGTGGTACGTCCTCAGAAGAGTGAGTGAGTTCCGTCCTCAGAGTGAGTGAGTTCCGTCCTCAGAGTGAGTGGGTTCGGTCCTCAGAGTGAGTGGGTTCCATCCTCAGAGTGAGTGGTACGGCAGGGGACAGACGACAGCATGCCCTCCTCTGGGTAGGGCTGCTCTCTGCTCTTTCCAGCCTGGAAATGGAGGGGGTCACGCAGCTCAGTTTGTGGAAGGGTACGGGGTCCTCATGAACATGTGGATTAGTGAGATGAGACGTGTGTTGTGCGGGAGGACTCAGGAGACAGCGCTACCCAGGGCACTGCTCAGGAGCATCCCGTGGAGATGGGAGGACAGGGCCCAGAGGCAGGTGTGGGGACACGAAAGGCTGGCTGTGTCTTGAGAGCCACTCAGCTTGGATTGCTTCTCTGCATCTTCAGAGTATAGGGAGGGCTTTACGTAACTCAGAGAAAATACTTCCTTTCAGCCACGTGGGCTCTTCTGGAAGGAGAACCAAGGAGGTGAGGGTCACTGATGTGTTTCATCGCTTCGTAGGATACGTGACTGTGGGGGTGAAGCCTGCTGCCTCTCTGCCCCCACTGCCCTCTCTGTACCTGTCCCCATTCATGGCCTTTCCAGTCCACAGAAATGGAAACCTCTCACTGGTGCCCTTGTGGGAGTTTGTGCTGGTGGGATTTGGGGGCAGTGCAGAGACTCAGGCCCTGCTCTTTGCTGTCTTCCTGGCCCTGTATGTGGTGACCATCCTGGGAAACCTGACCATGATCGTGGTCATCACCCTGGATGCCCGCCTGCACTCCCCCATGTACTTCTTCCTCAAGAACCTGTCCTTCCTTGACCTCTGCTACTCCTCTGCCATAGCCCCCAAAGCCCTGGCCATCTTCCTCTCCTCCAAAGTCATCAGTTTTGAGGCCTGTGCCACACAGCTCTTCTTCTTCTCTCTGCTGGTCACCACCGAGGGCTTCCTCTTGGCTGTGATGGCCTATGACCGCTTCCTGGCCATCTGCAGTCCCTTGAGGTACCCTGTGACCATGTGCCCCATTGCCCGTGCCCGCCTGGTTCTGGGCACCTACTGTGGAGGCTGCCTGAACTCCATCGTGCAGACCAGCCTCACATTCCGGCTGCCCTTCTGCAGGTCCAACCGCATTGACCACTTCTTCTGTGACGTGCCCCCCCTGCTCCGGCTTGCCTGTGCCAACACAGCCCTCAATGAGCTTGTCATGTTTGGCATCTGTGGGCTCATAATTGTGTGTACCAGTCTTGTGGTCCTCATCTCCTATGGCTACATCACCGTGACCATCCTCAGGATGCACTCGGGATCTGGGCGGCACAAGGTCTTCTCCACCTGTGGCTCCCACATGACAGCTGTGTCCTTGTTTTATGGAACTGTGTTTGTCATGTATGCGCAACCAGGAGCTGTGGAGTCTATGGAGCAGGGCAAGGTGGTCTCTGTCTTCTACACCCTGGTCATCCCCATGCTCAACCCCCTCATCTACAGTCTGCGGAACAAGGATGTGAAGGATGCCTTGAGGAGGCTGGGACACAGACACAGCCTTGTGAAGGACGGTTGCAGATGATTGACCGTTCTAGAGTGGGAAGGAAGACAGTCTCCCAGGAGAGACAGTGTGCTTTGAGGAATTCATTCCTCGGTGATCTTTCCATTAACTCATTCTTCAGTCTTTCTTGAAAGTACATCACAGGCCAGGCATTAACTAAACAGAAAGCCTAGGGTTTGTGCTTTACCTAGAAAACAAGCATGAGAGGTGGAGCGAGTCCAAAATCACTTTCCACCAGGTGGCATAGTGTATGTGGTTCGCCTTTCTTGGAATTCATGGATTTTCTTTGTTTTCAATGTATGTTTTTAATTGAATTTTTGTGTATTTCATACATTAGATCTTAATCCTATTTAGACTCCTGCCCTGCACCCCCCCCATAGCCCACCCACAGGATTTCCTGCAGTCTGTCATATATGTTAAGACCTACTGAATCAAGTTTGTGTACCCAGATGTCCCTCAGTGTGAGTTCCTCCACTGGAGTCTGTTCAGCCTGTCCAGAGTCACTCCCTTAAAAAGACAGACTCTCCCTCACCCAGCAGGGATCAGCTGCCAATAGTTGCTCAGCTAAGTGGCATCCTGTCCATTTCCCCAACTCTATGCTGCTTTTTGTCTGATCGAGCTTACATGGGGCTTGTGCATGTTGTCACCATTGTGGTAAGTTCATGTGAGCAAGTTCCCAGAAGACTGGAAGACTATTTCCTTATCACCATGGCCACCCCTGGCTCTTACAATCTTTCTGCTTCCTCTTCTGCAATTGTCCCTGAGCTGTGGATTGGTGAAGTTTAATATGAGCCCTAACCAGACATATGTGGTCTGCAGTCTTTTATTCTCTAGACTTTGGCCAGTTGTGGCCTTCTGTGTTCATCACCCTCTGTTGCATGAGGAAGCTTCCACTGGTGAGAGGGATATATTAGTATTCTCTCTACCCCCTGTTCCACTATGTTCTGTGAGTCTTAGGTGTAGGGGTTCCACTGTGGATGTGTCACTTAGGGCTGGTCATCTCTCAGACAACTTATTCTCTATGTGTGACCAGTTGGAGAAATCTGTAATAATCCTCCATCAGTTGCAAAAAAAGATTCTTTGATGAGTGGTCTTACCTTCAAGTTCTGGAAACTAATCAAGGGCTGTGACAATAGCCTGTGCAATTTTGGGAGACTCTTGGACTGCGATAACCAACAACTGGAAGGGAGGTTTCTCCTCACTGGGACTGTGTTCCTTGTTACATAACCTTCAACTAGACACATGTACTCATGTACAGATATTGAATGTGTATTTCTCAGTGGGCTTTTAAAATAACACATTTCCCTCTGGACAGAAATAAAAATGTCTAAGAAACATTTTAAAAAGCAATTTGGGTAACCCCTTCAGAGGATGATGTGATAAGAACAGGAGGTAGGAATTGGCTAGGCAGTTAGGGTAAAAAGACACCAAAGAAAAGTAGCCAGTTTTCCTGGCTAAAACTCACAATGTCCTTGGGCCTCAGCAACATACTCTGTTCCAAAGGGCAAAAATGTCAAAAAGTATTTGGGAGGTTGTCTCTAATCCTTAAAAGATTTTAGGGTCACCTCTTCGGAAGGGGGAATGTTGGAGGGGAGGGAGTGGGCATGGATTTGATCAAAATATCTTATATGTACGGATGAAATTCTCAATAAAATTTTGTAAAGGTTAAAAAAAATAAAGGTGGAACTTAGACTAAAAAAGTGCTCAATATCCTTTGTAATTAAGGAAATGCAAATTAAAACCACTTTAAGATTTCATCTTACCCAGTTTGATGAAACTGTGGCCATATCTGTAGATCTTAGTACCGAATCCTTCTAAGTGAGTACATATCCTGATGTAACCATAGGAACCAGGAAAATGGAAAGGAACCATGGAGGTAAAGGGAAAGAAAGAGCCCAAGAGAGGGGGCTAGCAGGGGTTCAATGTCACCAAGAGGTAAATAGGGGAAAGGAGGGTAATCAACAGAGAAGGGAGGAGGGAAGGGCATCCAAAGGACCATGGATTTAAAGTGGAAGAAGGCGCTCAAGAAAGCAAGGCTACTAGGAGACGGGTATTATCAAGGATGAAATGGGGAAAATGGAGGCACTTTAACTGGGGAGGGAGGAGGGAGGGTTAGACAGGGAGAGAGATAATGTCTAGGTGGTGTGAAAAAACAGATTTTCTTTTTCTGTGAAAGAAATAAATATTAGTGCTTGGTGTATATCTTTGACCCAGTTTTGGACGAGAATGTTAAAAATTCTGAATAAGCCCCCAACCCCGCTCTCACCAGATTTAGGGGTGGTCACGTCTTGGTGACCCTCCATGAGCATCCATGGACTCCTGTTTCTTCTTTCTTTCTCAGTTTATTCCACATCGCTGAGACAAGATTTATTTTAAATAATTTTCAGGGCTGGAGAGAGAGCTCAGTGATTAAAGTATTTGCTGCTTGTGCTGGTTAGAGGGTCATCAGTTGGGGAATTGAGTCCATTGAACTGGCTGCCAGTAATGAACTGCGACCTGGGAGCTATAAGCCAAAAAACTCTTTCCTCCCCAAGTTGGTATTGGTCAGTGTTTTGTCACAGCAATCAAAAGGAAACTAGAACAGAAATTGGTACTGAGAGCGGGGTACTGCTGTGATGGGCCTGACCCAATTGTTTGTGGAACATGATTGTGGAAGTGTTTGGAACTTTAGGCTGGAAAAGTCATTGGGTTCTTAGAGCTTAGTGAGTCAACACTGTGGAGCTTGGAACAGTTCTGCTGAAAGAGGTAGATGATGGAGGCCTGACTTCTGAAGCTTCAAAGGGAAGTAAAGATTATCAGGGATGTTTGTGTGCTATTTTGAATTGAGAATCTGTGATTTCTGGTTGGCTGAGGCTGAAGAATGAGTTGTGATTAAGAAGAGACCAGAACCACTGAAGTTAAACCTTTGCTTTCCTGGACAATTGATGCTGGTTAGCTGAAGCTGAAAAATCAACTGTGGCTCTTCCCTTTTGCAACCATCACTAAATCAGCACAAGCCAAAATGAAGTTCAATGCCTTTGTGACTTCTGACCAAAGCAAGAACCAGGAAAGCATTTCAATGCACCTTCTCACATTTGGAGGAAGATTGTGTCCTCCCTTCCTTCCGAGGAGCTGAGACAGAAGTACAATGTTCGGACTATGACCATTCGAAAGGGTGATCAACTTCAGGTTGTACGAGGGCACTGCAAAGTTCAGCAGATTGGCAAAGTGACCCAGGTTTACAGGAAGAACTATGTCATCTACATTGAGCCGGTGCAGTGGAAAAGGCTAATGGCACAACTGTCCACGCGGGCATTCACCCCAGCAAGGTGGTCATCACCAGACTAAAGCTGGACGAAGACCACAAAACAATCCTGGAATGGAAAACCAAGTCTGGCCAAGCAGGAAAGGAGAAGGGAGAACACAAGGAAGAAACCATTGTGGACATGAGGGGTCTCCCATATGACTGTCATTACAAACTGCCTAAATAAAAAATCAACTGTAAGTAACAAGACACCAGCACCATCAACTGCGAGGTGAAATCTTCTGGGAAGTATTTCCTTAGGGTCAGCACACAGAAGCTATGATCCACAGGGGGCCCAAGTCTGCATTTCAAGCTGGAAGCAGGACATGGTAATGTGTAAGAGTCTCCTGCATGGTTCTGGTGTTGAAAGCGTGAAGGGGTCACAGAGAGCAGCTGAGGCTTGGCACCCTGAGAGGCCAGGAAAGGCCATAGGTGAAAGGGCAGCTTCCGTTTCAGTGAAGACCCCAGGATTGAAGGGATCATGGAGAAAACCTGAGGCTTTGCACCCCAAGAGGCAAGAAGAGGCCATTGGTGAAGGTGTAGCTGTTTCCAGTGGAGACCCCAGCATACTGGAGATGCCACAATCACGGGACGACCACCAAGAGCAGCAGCAGGTCTGGAGTGGAGCTGGCTTGAGACTGCCAGACAAGCTGTGTGTGCTGTGAATGGCAGAACCAGAGCAGTGGAGCTGCCCACGCCCTTTGGAGCCCAGGAGATCGTGAGTGAATCCCAGATGTCCAGCCCTGAGCTTCTTTGCTGGACTTTGGTTTTGCTTAAGTGTGCCCAAGTCTTCCCTTTGAAATAAAACAGTAATTTTAAATATTTTTATTGAATTTTTGTATATTTTGTACATATACACCCTCCCAAAGACGCCCCCCAACTGGAGTTCATACAGTCTGTCATTTGTATTAAGGCCTATTATGTAAAGTTAGTGTCCTGAGATGTCCCTCAGTGCAAGTTCATCCACTGGGGTTTAGTCAGCCTATCTAGAGTCTCTCCCTTCAAGAAGATCAGCTCTTCCTCACTCAGCACTAATCAGCTGCCAAGAATTCTTTGACTAAGATTGGGACTTGCTGTTCATTTCCACAGTTCTGTGCTGGGTTTTTGTCTGCCTGTTTGCCTGGGTCTTGTGCATGCTGACACCATTGCTGTAGGTTTGTATGAGCAGGTCCCAGGCACCTGTAGGACTATTTCCATGTGGTCATGTACCTCCTCCCTGGCTCTTACAATCTTTCTGCCCCCTCTTCTGCAATGGCCCCTGAGCACTGGGCGGGTGGACCTCAATATAGAAGACCTGTCCGAGGACCCACACTCTGCGAACTCTTATTCTCTGTGTTTTGGCCATTTGTGGCCTTTTTTGTTCCTGGCCCTTTGTTGCATGAGGGAACTTCATTGATGAGAATTGAAAGATGCGTTAGTGTTCTCTTCATCCCTTCTTCTATGTTCCATGAGCCTTAGGTGTAGAGGTTTCATCGTAGATGTGCCACTTAGGCTTGGGCAATTCACGGGGAATCTCTGTGTGTGACCAGTGATGTAACTCTGTAATAATCTCTGTTGAAAAAGAAGTTACTTTGATAGGTGGTGACTGAGATACTTGTCTGTAAATTTAAGGAGTCATTCTTCCCATAGTAAGAGATTGCATTCGTCTGTGGATACGAGAGCCTCAGGGTCTCTCTACAATCCATGGCCTCTGAGGCCGTGCGCTCTTGCTAGGTTGCAGCACCAGAACAGCACTGGT